GTAAAGTGGCTGATTCAAGCTAACCTCTTGTTAACTGAAAGAATAAATAAAATTTTTTGAATGTACATGCTATTTCAACTGGAAATTAAATTTTTACCAATGAAATGTTATTTTCATGTTATTTTCATGTTATTTTCTCACAAATTGGAATTTTGTTTTCTTTGTCATAGAACAACAAAAGTGATTCCTCTGAAGTGTGACATCCCCGTGGAATTTGAGTTCACGCTGAGTTATGTTCAGTTACACCCAGCATTTACTGTGGAACCAATGTCAGGTAAACTTTGTGGAAGTAATTAGATAATGATAAGTTACAACAGGGTTGTATTGGTGAGGGCAAGTGTTCGGAAAAGAAACGGGAAATCCAAACAAGCACTTTAATTCCAACACGGTAAACTGTAGACTCACAGTAAACGATAACGACCATTAAACAAAATGGCTACTCGATAAACTAAAACTTTTCAACTCCCCTCTAAAAAAATCGCACACGTCAAAATTAAAAGGTCCACGGGATTTGCTTACGATATTATTAGCCTACGTAGTCCCAAAGCACACGCACGTGAGGCGCACGCGCACAAGTGCATTAACGTCTTCTTAACAGCAACTCAGGAAACATCAATGTTTGCAATCATTTATATCCTTATTACCTTTCATTATTCATCTGTAAAAACAATTTTTGCTAACATCAGTATGTTAAAGGAGATGTATGCAATAAAAGCCACTCTTCCTTTACCATGTCTTGGCAATCTGTTTCACCAGTTAGACTAAATTAAAAGGCACTGACTCGAAAAATTATATTTTTGGACTAATCACAGGACAGTTCCAGCTTTTCATGAAACATACCTACTGGTTCTTGCCACTTAATGACTGTGTGGCAGCATTACAGAGTTGTTTTCAATATGGGTGAATCGAAATTTAATTTTTAGTTTTTAAGAACTAAAAATACATAAAAGGTAGTTCATTTTCATCTATAGTTTTCAATCATGGCAAAGAGGATTGGTTTGAGGAGCATTTAACTTAGAAATCCTTTGCTTTGATTCTAAATTTTTTTGGAAAGTCCAGTAATTGCATGCTAAATAATGTGGAAATTCACACTTTTCTTTCATGATTTAATATTTATAAAAACTAAAAGGTTTTACTCTCTTTCAAATTTCCTTTAACTTTAACTTGGCATACAATTCAAATTACTAACATCATTTATCATATGTTAGTAGTTTGAATTGTATCAGGGTTACAAGTCATCAGATGCAATGAGTGTACATACAGTATCAAAGTTTAAATGAAAGCCATGATACTTTTTATCTTTGGAAAAATTTCACGGTGAAATAAACTTGTCCTCTAGGAATTGTGCCTGGTAATGGTGAGGTGGAGGTAAAAGTGACATTTGCACCAATGGACTTCTCAACAGCTCACATGAAGCTTCAGGTAAATCAATATATTGAGCTGCACTAATCATAATAATTTTGGTTTTATCAACTGCGTTTAACTTAATATGTAAATTGGCTGACATTTCAGGAATTAGCCCTAACTGATCATGGTTGTTTTTACTGTTTTTTTTTTTCTTATTTTAATTAAAAACTGATTTACAGTACAAATAATGCAGCAAAAGAACAAATGAAATTCCATTATAATTATGATCATTAGAATTGAAATTTCTCAGGGGATGTATGCACTCTCTATATGCTCTGTAGTATTAACCATTTTGAACTCTGGCTGTTTTTGAACTGGGAACTGCACGATTTCCATGTGTTTTAGAAAAAAAGATGTTATATGTGAGTAGACTAAAAGAACATGTAGTTTTTCTGTGTCATAGAGCTTCTCTTTTGTTGAAGAGAATTTTAATTCCAAATCCTTCTTGGCTTTTAGCTGATGGTGTCTCAATTCAACATGTCTCCACTTGTTTGTTCCTTAACTGGAACGTCAGAGCCAGGACTTGCCAAAAGGTATTACAGCACTGGACTGGATTTTTGTATTAAGGGTAAAGCCCCAGTGCAAGACATTTTGCAGAGTAGACCAAGGGAAAGGCTTCATCTCGATGATTGGACCCCAGTTAATAGCAAAATGTTCTAACTTAAGAAAATTGCGGGGTCAACTGTTTTGGTCGGCCAGTTGGATGAATAATTATTTTGCTATCCTTGACTCTTGTTATGCCCTTCTAAATGTCAACACCCAAACTTTCTTTTTACAAGAATTTGGATTGTAGAGAGGTCCTCCAACCCTTTCCACACCCAGGATTGACCAAATACAATTTTTAGGCATAAAGGCAGAGAGAAGAAATAAAAGTGCCATCTTCAGTAGAGAGATTGTTTGCTTTAACAATAAATTCTTGGAGATTCTCAGAAATGTATAGCAGAAATTGCACTGAATTGATAAGATCTTGGGAAGGAAAAGTGTTAACTTAAGGGCTATAAGCCATCTCAGAGTGTCTAATCAAAAATTCCTGTGTGCTGTGTTTTTTATAAAACAGATTAAAAGAAAAAGCGTGGATAGAAGAGCTTCCCCCATTACCCACCAATGGAATTCTGGACCCATTACTGATTGATCCTCTGGGCAGAACAAGACTGAAGAAACTTAAGACTAGACCTTGGACTCCAGGAGAGAAGAGAAGCCAGGTGGGTGCTGAAAATCAAGAAAATGGGTGCCCATGTCAGGGAAAAATTCTGTTTTTGAAAATGTTTGGGAATTTTTTTTTGTCAATTTCTCGGAGGTGGGACAAGGGGAGGAAAAACTTTTTTTGGGAGGGTGAGTAGGAGGTGTTTCCTGTTTTTTTTTTGTTAGGGAGACTCAGTACAAACAGCTTTTTTTTTTTTAATCTTTTTTATATGATTGCTTTAGGTGATTACCATGTATTTAAGAGTTTCAATGTTTGAATTTCACAAGTGTACACGTAGTTGAAAGCAGAGTATGGTCACTATTTCTGCATCCAACTTTGAATGAATGTTTGCAGTTGACCAGAAGCTTGCAACAGATATGCAGAGAAACAAACATTAGAAAAAAAATTAATGCTCTCAATGTTTATTTGACTTATCTTTTGAAGGAGCTTATGCAGAGAAAATAAAGAGGTTTTCAAGGAACATTGTTTTTTCCACTCAAATAAATGTTTTTGTTTTGTACAGGAACTGGTCAGAGATGGCTTGAGATTTCCAACCAGTGGTCTTGACAATCCATCCTCTGTGTGCAGCATCCTTCTACAACAACCTGGAAAACTGAAAGCCAAGCAGATTAGAGAAGGTAGGTGACTTGATGTCATTCAAACCACTTGATCCTTTATCTACAATTGTTGTGTGAGTTCAGTTACATGCCAGTAAGAAAGAGAGTAAGAGAGTCTTAAGCACTCTAAACAACAAACGTGTCTAGTTACAATGATAAGGTGCCCATGTCAGGGGAAAATTCTGTTTTTGAAAATATTTGGGAATTTTTTTTTTGTCAATTTCTTGGAGGTGGGACAAGGGGAGGAAAAATTTTTTTGGGGGGGGAGTGAGTAGGAGGTGTTTCCTGTTTTTTTTTGGAGGGGGGTGAGTAGGAGGTGTTTCCTGTTTTTTTTTTGTTAGGGGGACTCAGCACAAACATTAATTCTGGGTAATTCTGTTGTCGTTTGTTTCTCCTTTTTCAGCTGTTCAAAATAAGAAGGATGTTTCGGGGAGCACAAAACAGATGAAAGTAAGTTGATTTGGGGACACAGTTCTAGAGCAAATCATATAAGAAAATTCCTTGCAGTACTCCACAACTTAGCCTGTTCTGTGGGCAAAGGAAATTGCAATATTACAGTGATAGAGTTGTACATGGTTTTGTAATTTTTGCACTTTGCGTTATGCACAGGAGACAAAGTTCGAGTATGAAGTCCATCAGAACATTCAAGACGAAAGACAAAATCAGCTCAGATGGTATGTACAGTTTGAACATATACTTATATGTATGAACTTTGTGGAAAAGTCCTTTGTAAACCTTTTAGAATGTAATGTGCATAGGTTAGCATTACGGAATAAAATGGCTAAGACGCAACATACACTGTGTGTGGGAAGGCTCTGGGGATTGACACCAGGCTGTTCACGTGCAGTTTATGTGTCGTGTTCTAGAAGCAAAAGGGATCGGGTTTTCTTGACTTTTTTGAGGTAGATTTGTTAGGAGTCCGCTGCGAAGGATGACTAGGATTAGGGTAAAAAAGAGTTTTTTGCTCCTTTTCACTCCATGGATTCTCGCTACTTCGGCTTATACTCATACTTTTCCCGTCTGGCCAGAAGAAAACGGAAAATTCTACTTTTATACTACTAAAAGCGGTATGTTCACCTCTTCTGATCTCTCTTTGTATGGTAAAAAAAACAAAAAACAAAAATAAAACTGGTTGTATCCGCCTTAATTTTCTTTAATTTTGTGTAGTTAACAGCGAGGATGCGAAATGTGAACCCTTACTTAGAGGATCTACTTTGTATCAGAATGTTACCAATCGTTTACACCACTCTGTGTGTTTGTTCCAAGGTGTGTAAGGTTAGGTGAAGATCCCATGTCAGAAGCGACAAGAAAACAGATTTATGATAAAAGGATAGATGATGAAAGGGAGTACAAGGTGCTTGTAACTAAAATATCAAATTCACTTTTATTCTGATCCAGGAGATGTCTTCGGAGAGAATTAATACAAGAAATAGCGTACTTCCCATTGTCTCACTTATGATATACGAAATATATTACAATTTACATTTCGAAAATATTAAAAACCAACCAACCAACCAAACAAACAAACAAACAAACAAAGAATTCAGGCGTTCAACTTTTTCTGATGATGTTATGTGATGAGATCGTGCAGTAAAACGCTTTTCTCTGAGGAAAGCTAAGGAACTTTTGTGGATCCAAAACCATCATTTAGAGTCCAAATCTAAAAAAAGAGAACTGCGAGTCTTGGCGCAAGAATTAGACAATACTGTCTCGTTTCCTTAGATTGATTTGTTTAAATTTCAAAACCATCAAGGTCTCGATCTTGATTGTAAGCATGGCACTTAAAAATCAGCTCTTTAGGAGCAGTGTCTACCGGGAGTTCTAAGAAACGGGTCCTTAGTTCTGCAAAATGGTTGTAGAAAATGGCTTGTGTTACAGCTCTTTCAAATACGGTTATGATAAGGTGAATTTATAGTTTCGAGGAGTGCTCCTCCCTGTTTGGTAGTTTGCGTACCTTTTATGTATGACTCCACGTTGAATTGTTTTCGTTTACAATTAATCAAAGCTGAATCGAGGAGACCCGGTGATAGAAGACGAGTATGACCGGTCGTGTGTAGGATGTGAACTGAGAAGAATCCACAGGCAAGCGGATGAAGTATGTATCCATTTTTGAGCATTGTACATGTACATGGTATTGTACTGGTACTTCTAAGGTTACTTAGACTAAGGCTGTGTTCTAGCAAACACAGCGAGGCTCGGGTTCTAACGGGGAATATAACTGTCGTATTCTGCCGAACCGTTAAACTTGCTTTTATAAAAGCTCTGAAGATTTTCAGAGTTGAGCGCCCCAGATATATCTGATGGGGCTACTTTTGAGCTAGTACCAAGCTTTCGTTCATTGGACACGGCCGAATCAGCGGCGGCCGGTGGTTGTCTTGGAGGTGAAAAAAGGAGAAATATTGTTCACAAATGGTCAGAATGAGGTACCTATACACCATGTTGCTTACAAGTTCCCTAACATTTTAGTTCGTCTTGGCACAAAGTTCCATTTTTGGGTGCGCTCAAATATCATTTCGTTATGTTTACATAAGCTTTAACATTTGCCGTACCGATGACCATGGTTGGAAATGGTATCTTTTTTTTCTCAGGTCCCTCAAAATGAACCCCGATTTGATCTTCTTGTTAATGATGAGTGGAGCAAGAGGCACATGGTCGTGCAGAGGTTTGTTCAAGCGGGACGAAAGGTAAACGTCAGTGTCCGTTGCATTTGTGAAAGGGACTGGTCGTTCTTTATCGCCTGGTTGGGGGGGGAAGGGGGTTGAGAGGATTTTGGTTGTGTCACATTACAATTCATCAGACCCCTCCCCCCATGGCTCTGTAATATTGTTATAAACCCCCCTCCCCTCATTGGTATTTAGTTGACTTTCTCTCTTCCTCCTCTCCCCCCCCCCCCCCCATTCCCAGGTGATAAATAATGGCAGGCCCCGAATTGACCCGATATGAGGTTCAACACGAGGTTCCACTCATGTGCGGTATAGTTGCTCTGGTGATTATAGAGATGTGCATGCTATGATTGGTGGAGGATTGCACCATATCTCGCTGTAATCACCTCGCGCGAGGTGATTATAGCAGGAGCGCTGAATTTCAAAATGGCTGCCTCGCGTTTTGTCAGTATTACCGAGGAATCGATGAACGCGATGAAGAAAATCCAATTTTCAAGAGCACAAAAGATGCTCTTGAGTTTGGAGTAACACTTTTCAAAAAGAAAAAGGTAAAGTTTTTGCTGATTAAGTTAAATGAGCCTATCAAACTCAAGTGGAAACTGGCTCTTTCATGTTTATTATCCAAATGGTCAATCGTTATTTTCTGCTCATTTCTTATAAAGCAGGAAAAGCGAAGCAGATAGAGAAGCGTAGCGCGCACAGCCGACCGGTTAATTGTACTCCACTTTGTGCAGTTGCATAACAATGCAGGATATTGGCGTAGTATTGTTATCTGACGCGTTCGAATTCCTTAGAAACCCATGCCTAAAATCCTGCGAGCTTTTGAGTGTAGTATCGTTGTTCTTCCTGAGATATGGCCAAGTGAATTGATCCCCTCAGATGCATGATCATAATTTTGCTCCTTTTTATTTCCACACTCTGTGCGCGTGGACACTTTTACGCGCGCGCGCGCGAGCGTTATTTATGATTATGACGTTATACTTATGGCGCACCCTTGTGGCTGTTGCCGGTTTTCCCTAACAACCTAACCGTTATAGAGAAGCGTGGCGCGCGCAGCCGAGCGGTTAAACAGGGTTTTGTGCATTACAAAATAACCAACTGTGCATACTGTCGCAGGGTATTTGTACTTTTTTCGCGCTTTATTTGTACTCTACTTTGTGCAGTTGGATAACAATGCATTGTTATCTGATGGGTTTGAATCCCTTAGAAGCCCTTACTTAAAATCATGTTATCTTCTGAGCGTAGTATCGTCGTTATCCCTGAGACATGGCCATGTTAATTGACCCCCTCAGATGCAATATGTCGTGTTGGCAATTTTTCTCCTTTTACTGCCACACTTTGCGCGCGTGCACACATTCGCGCGCGTACGCGAACGTTATTTATGATAGTGACGTCATACTTGTGGCGCACTCTTGAGGTTGCTGTTTGCTCTGTTAGTTTCGCATGTACAGCCCAACCGTCATCTCAATGGTTCTTCTTAACCTTGCTCTTCTTTCCTTTGTTTTCAGGTCATAATACGTCTGAGAGCCAACAGACACTTAGGTTCCCTTGGAGAATTCGTTACCAACTGGAGGAGGGGAAAATTCACGAGGGAACACTCAAGTAAGGGAAGACTTTCAGCTAAACTTTCGTTTATATAGTCAAGTAACGCCTGTAGTCAACAGTAGTTACAACGGACCCCCACCCCACCCATCCCTCTCCAAATGGGCCCGTTTACTCCCCGTTTGTTTCAGAATTGGCCGGCAGTAGTGCAAAGTGGTATTTAATGGAGCCGATGGAATAATGCGTCCTGCATCTACTTTCATGGCGTCTTTAGACATACAATAATGTAGCTGCTCAGTGTAGTTCTGCCTTGGGCCTGCTAAGAAAGTATTTCCGTTTTATATAACGACCCTTTCACCAGCAGTTTTCTTTATTGAGCCCTCGCAGGTGAATCAAATTTTATAAAGTAAACAAAGCCATAAAAATTTCATAAAGTAAAGAAAGCCATTAAAAGATATGGTCTTTAACGAATCTGTTTCCATGCCTTTCCGATTTTTTTTTAGCTGGCGCTAAACGAATTGAAAAGTTGTTTTCCATGCGTGCGTGTAGTCTAGTCATGTTTTTCTTTTCTTCTTTCTTCGCTTTATTAGGAAGTCAACTTGCAGAGAGTGAAGGAGAAAAGTTCTTCGATGAAGATGAGGTACCTCTGCAGATCTCGTCTGAAGGCATTTTTCCGTTTTCCTTTCCTTCGTACAAATCCCCGGACACAAAAGATGATATGGTATGCATGCTGGGTCTTGATAGCCTTAGCTTAACCTTTTAACTTCCACAACTAATTAATGTGAAACTTCTCCGCATGATATTTATACATGATCCAGCAAACAGGTTATGAGAAGATTCAAACTTGTCAGGTATAGGTTATCATCTTGATCTAACACCAAATTCTCGAAACTAATTTACAAGGAAATATGTAACAGCCAGAGTGGAGAATTAACAATTAGAGTGGAGAATTAACAATTAGATCATGGGAGTTAAAGATCAAGGTTTTAGTTTTGGCCTCGTGAGGTTTTTTATGCTTATGATTACTGTGGACAATGCTTTGAAACTCAGTCGAGTCTGATTTGTGGAAAGTAACTGAAGGAAGGTTAAGTTAGCCCTAAGACTCATCTTGTTAGATTGTGGTTTCAAGCAGTATTACCAATCCTGGACGGGATGGTTGTCGATCGTGAGTCCCGCCCTTTCTTGGTCCACCCGGCTGTACCCGTTTGTACTTCTGGGTAGAAATAAGCACTGGGAGGGTATACTTTCGCGACGCTGATAGTCACCCGTCGAGGCTCGAACCCAGGACCTCTCGATACGGAGTCTAGCGTACCAACCACAAGACCACAGTGTCGCAAATGATAGTTATGTTAGTGAGTGTTTAATGGCGTCTGATTTCTTCCATCAGGATGTTGATGCCCTTGGTACATTGAGGGTACAAGCGACCGTTGTCAATGTCAAAAAACACGTCCCTTATTATAACTTAAAGGTACGTTTCTTAGCTGCTTTGTCCGGCTGCGATGTCAAATCTGCTTGATAAAATTGGAACATTATTTTACACATTTTTCAAGTTGTGTTATCAGTGAAAAGGCTAGAATATTCAAGCTCTAATTGTCCTATGTCTTTTCCACATGTATGCACTTAAAGCTTTCAGGAAAATAATCTAGAATTGACATACGTCAACGCTGTTTTCCTTAAAATGTATAAAATCTATGAAGAGACCTTCGAAGAGGACCTTTCTTCAAGGCAACAGGAATACCTCAGAAGTTCATTTTGAGAACCTTAAGGAGCCAGTCAAAACTAAACATAAAAACAAACAAACTGCGCTTAAGGCGGGAAGTCGCGAGTGGCGAGTTTCGAGTATCAATTTAATCTTGGAATTAACTTATTAATATGCAGATAGTGTTCATTGCTCCGAAGGTTTTTTTGGAGGACGAAAAAGGAATCGCATGAGTTGTTCACGTGACATAATTCGTAGCAGTGATTTCGGAAGGGTTTTCCTTCATAGCTTGGCCCTGTATGGCGGATTCGGTAATCTGAGCATGATCTTTTCTTGAAGCGGGAAAATTTCTTGAAATCTATGAATTTAGCTGCAAAAGGAAGTTTCAGAATAAATATTGTGCGTGTAAAACAAACAGGAAGATGCTTTCTCTTAAACATAACCGCTGCTTTGACCTTTGTAGCCTAGATTTTCAGCCTAACATGAAGCTCATCACACTACAATAATTTTTGTTTAATTTTTTTATCAATGATGTTTTGACCACTGTTCGTATCTTTATCAAAGTATGAAAGGGAAGTAACACTCTCATTAGATCAGGTGATTCCATGTTGTCTAAAGCTCACTTCTTCGCTACAGGTCCCCAAACAGTATGATATCCTGGGTTATAACCGTCACTCAGTAGCCGACGCGTCTTCGGGATATGTCCCTCCAAACCTCGTTCGTCCTTTGAGGGTTGGCGCTGAGGTAATGTAAAATTTATTTTCTAGGTTTTTTTTTACTTTTGGACAGTCAGCAGATCTCTCGATAATCATACATGTTACTGGATGAAAATACTTTGAAGTGTGTTTTGCACATGGGTGTAGATACAGCTTACAGTAACTTACTGACGAACACTGTAAATTGTGCCTGTATCAGACGTTATTTCAAGTCAGCGGAATAACGTTAGGAATTGTTTAATTTTGAAAGTGAGATAAACATACCTAATATCACTGGGTTCGAGCAGTGTAAAGAGCTGGCTCATCCGGTGGATGGAATTTGATTCTCTATCATGCATGATTCCTTTGAGTTTTTCCTGTCTGTTTCATCTGTATCTCATACTGCCTTGATTTAGAATCCGAAACAGCGTTTGCACTGTGTAACCTCCTGTTTTCCAAGCGATTCAAGTGCACGCACCGTGTAAGATGTTGCTTCTCTGGGCACAACTTTAAGAGACCACGTCTCGTTATTCCGGGGATGTCCTTGTTTCTTTCTTGTCGTAATTTACGTTCGCTTTATCTCTCTCGCTTGTTGTTGATAACGTCATTTTATTTTTTATGTTTTTTTCTTGCAGGACGAAATAATTAACTTAATCAGCAGTGTACCGCTGACGTCAGTGAGAAGCCCCAGTCCAGTCCCGACCACGGAAGGAGGCGAGGAAACTAAAGAAGAGGGAGAAAGGGACACAGCGCAGAGTCCACAAATGAAGAGTCCCATTAACACAACCTCGCAAGAGGACGTGGCCGTGCAGGAGCCTGAGGCAGTGCCCCTAGTGGTGCCTGCAGCACTGTTCCGACCCACATCTTACCATCCCCTGCATATTTTTGTAAGTTAGAGAAGATTTTTAACCACTTTGCTCCCGCAAATGTCCAATATATTTCCTTATATGGCTCATAACCACTGATTTCGTCTTACAGAACCCCGCGCCAGGCTTGCAAGTGTTTAAGCCTCCTCTTCCTTACGCGGAAGTGGATGAAGATTATCATTTGTGCCCCTTACCTCGCAACAGAACTGCTGGAAAATCAGGGAAACAAGGCAGGAAATACCTGGAGAGACAGGTGAACACCAATCGATTTTTGACTTGTGATATTTAAATATACTTGGAACAATTTTCAATTGAATTTTAAAGTGATCCTGGACTGCATTGTTTTTTATCTGCTTCGCTCTGTGGTTGATCGTGCACCGCCCTCGCAGCCAATCAGATGCAAAACTAAAGTAAAACACCACTAAGCTACTCGCGTTTTCCCGCGCTTTTTCACGGTAATTCAAACAGGAGTTAATGCCTGTGAATTTTTTTCTATTGTTTTTCCGAAAAATATCTGTTGTTAAAAGCCATGCCACTTGTTTTTCCACCCTTCCCACGAAATGAGAGAGAGATTTGTGTCTTGGGTATTGCTCTCTTTCGCTTCCTAACAATTCAGGATGAATAGGAAGAAAATGGAAAGAAACCCAAATCGTCCACTAATTAACAATTATTCCACGAGCGCGCGTCGGATATGAGATGATAGATAGCCAACGAGGCGCGTAGCGCCGAGTTGGCTATAATCATCTCATATCCAACAAGCGTGAGTGGAATAATTGTTTTATTAAAAAAAACACCCCCAAGATATTAGACAAATCTTCTCGACTTTATTTTGTAAGAAGAAACCGGATGTTACAATGTACAGACATTAGATTATGGCTTATTGGCTCATATACCATAATGGCTAAGCCAATTAAAAGTCTCGAATTGCATTATCCAATGATCCAGTTTCCAATNTCTTTCCTCAGATTGTACTTGGTTGATTTCTTTTTTGGCATTATAGCTCTTAAAGGGTGTATTGTATTATTAAAAACATTCTTGAAGATACGTGTGTCCTGTTGATCTAACAATTCATAAACATTAATGTGGTCGGATGTATACTTGCGCTTATAACATCGATCTAAGAAACATTGGATTGTTGTTAATTCGGAATTTACAGCGCCAAATACGGACAGCCCGTATAATATATTTGGTAGAACCAGATTTAGAAACAGATGGTCTACTTCGGCCTGATTGTACCCTTCTTTCCTTAAAGATCTTAAAATGAACAGGCACTTGTTTGCTTTGATTAGTTTTTCCCGAATATGTGTTATAAACCTACTATCATCCTGAAATGTTTCCCCTAAAATAGTAAGCTCTTTTGTCTGTTGTATTCCAGACACAATAGGAAACTCTATTGTACAAACTTTCTTGCGGAAAATGATTTCCTGGCACTTAGATGGATTGCTACTCATATCATTACTTCTAGACCACTGGGTATTTCTCTGTTTCGCTTCACAACAATTCAGGATGAATAGGAAGTGAAAATGGAAAAAAACCCAAATCGTCCACTAATGGCTGTTATCTCTTTTAATTACAGCCCCTAGATTAAATTTCTCTTTCATCAACCTGAACAAAAACTCAAGACTGAGATGTTAGTACTTTCTTTCGCGTCAAATCGACGCAAATTGACCTTTTGCTCATAACACGTCCTATGTTTATATTTGGTTTAGTTTCTTTTCTGAGACCTTGGATTGACTTGAATAATTCTTAATTAAAATGGAAAGAAAAATAAATATTCTTGTCAGAAATCTAGTCCCGAAACATTGTCTCGTGCCATTTTCAGGATGTTATTCCTGGTGTTATGACGTGGAAGCGGTTCCCTTGTCAGCCACTGGTATCTATGGCAGCAAACCCAACGATATCAAATGTGTGGATTCCTCGATGGTGAGTAGATCAGTTAACAGAAGAATTCTCTTACGGCACCTCTCATTAACGTGTCGTTTATGAAGTTGGAGATAGAGGGGAATTCCGTTTTGCGCTGGTGTCAATCATGTGGTGTACCTGTCGAGAAACAAGTGTGATGTTTCATACTGTACAGAGGGTCATGTCTTAAGCTGTGGCAGGATCATTTTGATCCTTCTTGTTGTTTTCGCCATATTTATCCGTTACGATAATGATTCATGATAACATGATACGAAATCACAAGGTTGGGTCCGTCTAAGCCTCAGAGATCGCATGTTATTGAAAGGCACGGCTAAAATAAGCATAGTTTCCTTTTTTTTTTTTAATTTTCGCACGCCTTGTTATTCTTATCTTAGGACTGACCCATTCAGTGAGGATATGCTGCCCACGGAAGTGCCTTCGTTACTACAGGGTCTCCCGGATGATGACGTCATGAGTGATGACGAAATGTAAGTTACTTATTTTGTCGATAAGTTATACATAACATGTTGGCATCGATACGAAATCTTGCGAGTGGTTATGAGAGTGGGAAAGTCTACAGAGAATGAAATGTCCTCTTTGATGTGCGATAAAGATTTTAATTATTGTCAAAACCGACGCGTCTTCGGGATATGTCCCTCCAAACCTCGTTCGTCCTTTGAGGGTTGGCGCTGAGGTAATGTAAAATT